TGGAAACTACCGTATTATAATAGGTATCGAATAATGCGTGTAAAGGTATAAAGCTGACCCACCGCACGTATCTGAATGACCATAAGACTTTATAAAAATGAAACTCAATGATTCGACGATCCAAAGAGGTTTATACATCTTACCTCTTCACAAGAAGTTTCAAAGAGATTACAATCAACGTTATCCTTGTTCCGACACAAACCTGGGTGGCGCTAGCATCGACATTGCCTTCAGGTATCTACACATACATACATAATAACAATACAAAGTTTCAGAGGTAAAACACATACATACATATAGCGTGCAGACATTTTGAATGCAACACAGATAGTAGGATTATGAGCGAGAAATTCGCAAAGGCACGTGCTTCTGAATTCTATTTGCGATTCACAATTGAGTGTAATCATATCTACGACGATGTTCCCCGCAATTTAGGTTGTCTTGTCAGTTTTAGATGACTAAGACGCTGTTTGTGGATTGTATAATTGATTATTGTTTGTTTTTGATGGAATTAAAAAATACTTCATCTTCTATATCTATATATATAAAATAAAGTTGTGTTAGTTACACCACTTATAACTCAAGAACGGCTGAACCGATTAAGCTGAAAATTGGCAGGGAGGTAGTTTAGAGCCAGGAGAAGGATATAGGATAGGATATAGTAGGTAGAGTAGGGTAGGTAGGGTAGGGTAGGTAGGGTAGGGTAGGTAGGTAGGGTAGGGTAGGTAGGGTAGGTTATCAAAAGAAGGGAGCGACGCCGCGGGTAAGAGCTAGTTTATTCATAAAAATAACGACTTCATCATCAGCATCATCGTCAGCCTATAAGTGTCCACTACTGAGCAAAGGCATATTCTAACACGGAGAATGCTAGAGCACGCTGCTCAATGTGGGTTGGCGATTTCAAACTTATAATTAGAAATTTTAAGGCCAGGTTTCGTCACGATGTTTACCTTCACCGTATGTCAGTGGTGTCTAAATAATCATAGAAAGTACATATAACTCGGAAAAAGTCACATTGGTATTTGCAGGTTTCGAACCCGCACCCTCATGCGTGAGAAGCGGACATAAAAGATAATGTAGCATGATGTATGGTTTATCTAAATATGTATTAATTAAGTAAAATGCCCGGTTATCGCATTAGGTGTTAATAACCTGTAATATTAACAGAGAAAGTTTTTTATAAATAAGTCACAACTCTTTTATATTGTCTGCGCTTTCTTTTAGTTTTGGAAACGCGACGTTGCCGCGACGCGTACGCTGCTCATAAATAAGAGTCCCGTGCTGACTTGAAACTACTGAAACGCTGCTCGGTTCCTGATAATTCCTTGTATGCGGTAATGTGTGTTTGATACCCTCCCTTCATAAATGGTCTATCCAACACAACAAGAATTGCTTAATTCAAACCGCCCCTTACAGAGATAAAAGCTTTCAAAATAAACAATTGTCTCAATTTATAGTATTAAAATATGTATAGTATAAAGATTGAGTACAACCCTATTCTTTCCGTGACTATAATAAGAAATATATGTCTGATAGATGACATAACTGATAGATAATGGTTCTTCTAATGTCAAATCTTTGAGACAGCGATCTTCAAACCTCCTACCAAGCGTAGTGATACTTTTTAAGGTAATGACGGCAAACATGGTGACGAATTACTGATAGTAAGCAATCAGCGCCGCCCATTGATACCCACAATACAGAATAGTTACGAGTGCCTTGCCGGCTTTTAGGGGATTAGGGTTTCGGAGCAGTAAGGGATCAGGATAGGTAAAAAATTAAGTAAATTTGGCCTCAAATTTATAGTACAGTAAACTATAATGAGGGGATTACATCAATAAGTATAATTGGAAATATATAAATACATTAAATATGGATATACTTTTTTATTTATTTAAGCCTTTTAATCAGACATTTTCCTTTAGTTATTATTCATACATGTTCCTTTTATTCATGTTTTGAATGTCCGTTTGCCAGGTGGCAAAGGCCTCCTCCAATCTTCTCCATTCCCGTCTTTCTGTGGCTACTCTACCCCATGTTGTTCCAGCGACCTGTCTGATATCATCATCCCACCTTCTCTGTGGCCTACCTCTCTTTCTTTTTCCATCCCTTGGGTACCACTGTGTGATTATTTTGCTCCATTTGTCTTTTCCTCTAATCATGTGGCCTGCCAATTTCCACTTTTGCCTTCTTATTTTCAGGGTTATGTCTTGGACCTTAGTTTTGCTTCTGATGTTGCTATTTCTTACTTTATCCTTTCTTTTGATCCCTACCATACTCCTTTCCATGGCATGTTGGCAAGTGGATAGTTTATTTGCAATGTTTCTTGTTAAAGCCCATGTCTCACTTCCGTATGTCAATACGGGCAGGATGCATGTGTTGAATAGTTTACTTTTAGTTGAAATGTGTAGGTTTTTGTCCTTCATTATTTCTTTAGCGCCCCAGTATTTTTTCCAGCCATTCGCAATTCTTCTTTCAACTTCTTTGTTTATATTATCCTCTGGGGATATCAGTTGGCCAAGATATATGTATTCGTCGACGTAGGAGATTTGAGTCTGTTCCACTGTTACAGGATCTTTCTTGCCATTGGTCATGATTTTTGTTTTCTCCGGGTTTAATTTTAGTCCGAACTTTGCGCTTTCTGATGCTAGGTCATTAATCATCTTTCCTAGGTCGTCTGGTGTTTTTGCAAATAGTACAATATCATCTGCGAATCGCAAGTGTGTTATTGAGCGGCCATTGATGTTTATGCCTAGTCTCTCCATTCAATTTTCCTGAAGATGTTTTCTAGAACAGCCAGGAAAAGTGTTGGCGAGAGGGGGTCTCCCTGCCTCACGCCTTTTTGTATCTGGAACATTTCTCCTTTCTGTTCTAAGTGAATGCATGCTGTGCTGTGACTGTAGATATTCTTGATAATCCTTATATATTTGTGTTCTATACCCTGTTCTTTTAAGGATTCCCAAATTTTTGAATGTATCAGAGAATCGAACGCTTTGCTATAATCAATGAAGGCTATATAGTATGTAAGTTGGTATTCAGAGTACTTTTCTATAGTTTGCCTTACAGTATGGATATGGTCCAGTACTGAGAAGTCCCTGCGAAATCCTGCCTGTTCTATTGGTTGTTGCTCGTCTAATTTTCTTTCTATTCTTTTCAAAATAACTTTAGCAAAAATTTTGTAAATATTAGACATTAGACTAATAGGCCGGTAATTTCCCATATCGCAGTGGTTCCCTTTCTTGAATAGAAGTATGTATTAAGTAAGTATTATGTTGGATTCAGTCCATTGTTTTGGGATGATTTCTGTGTTAATAACACTGTTGAAAATTTCTGTGAGTATAGGTATTAAATCTGCCTTCATTTGCTTTAGTATTTCATTGCTTATGCCATCTGGTCCTGGAGCCTTATCACTTTTTTGGGTATTAATAGCTTTTTCTGTTTCTTTCTGCAGGATGTAAGGTATAATTTCGTTGTCTGGTAATTCTATTTCTCTTTCATTTGTGTTGTCCTTGTATAGCTCGGTGTAGTAGTCTGTAGCGATGTTTAGTATTTCCTTTCTACCAATTTTCTTAATGCCGCTGCTGTTTTTCATCTTCACAATCCATTCTTTTTTATTAGTGAGTTCTTAATATGCCTTCTTTATACCTCCTGTCTGTCTGATATGTCTCTCAATTGTTTCCATCCGCCGTTGTCTCCTGTCTTTCCTTATGTTTTCTTTTATTTCTTTGCTAACCTTTGCTATTTACTTTCTATTATTGTCTGTCCTTTTCGTGCTTATTAGAGCTGATCTTTGTTCTAGAAGGTTGGTGGTTTTTTCCGATATCCAGTTGTTTGAATTTTCTTTCTTAGTTTTATTCTCTTTAATAGTGTTCTTAATTGTACATTCTAGCCAGTTGTATTTCTCCTGTATGCCGGCGTCTTTTGTTTCTCTCTTGTATTCTTTAAGTTTTAAGTTTAATGAATTGACGTTTTCTTCTGTTAAGTATCTGTTGAGTTTTATGTCTTCAGGATTTATTTTTGGTCTAGGATTCTTTGGTTGGGATGAATTTAGTTCAGCTCTGACCATACGATGGTTGGTGTAGAAATTTAGATTATTTATGACATTTATGTTTGTGAAGCATTTAGGTTTGTTGGACATTATAAAATCAATTTGGTTTTTTGATTTGCCATCAGGTGACAGCCATGTCCACATTCTGTTTTTATTTTTCTTGAACATTGTGTTCATTATGGTCAAGTTATTTTCCATCGCAAAACCTGTAAGCATTTTTCCATTCCGGCTTCTGGGTTTTGAACTGTATGTAAAGGGTCCTATGATTGCATCTTCATCCCATTGACGCTCACCAATTTGTCCATTAAAGTCGCCCATAACGATAACATTTTTGTGGGCATATGTCTGTAGAGTTTTATTCAGTTCTTGGTAAAACTGGCCCATTGTTTCGGTCTCTGCTTGTTCTGTTGGCGAATAGATCTGGATAATGGTCCATGGGTCTTTGTATTCTGGTAGTTTTATATTCAACAGTGCTATACGCTCAGATACACCATAGAATCCAATTATGTACTTCGCTAGATATTTTTTTACTAGAAAACCGACGCCATGTTGTCCTGGAGTTTGGCCCATGTGATAGAGTATGAAGTCTGGATATGCTATAATGTTTTCTCCTATTCTTCGCACTTCACTTAAGCCAAGGATATCCCACTTAGTGTTTTGTAGTGCCAATGATAATTCTGATAGGCTTTCTTCTGTTCTTAATGTTAGTACATTTAGGGTAGCAATATATATTTTTGTATGTTTATTGGTTTTAGTCCTCATGGTTGTTTCTTGCCTGGGTAGAGTTGGTTGGGTGTTGTCCATATTGTCATGTTGTTGTTTAATTTTTATTATTTTTATTATTGGAGGGTGTCGGTCTGAATCCCCACGGAGACCAGCCGGGTTGGGGATTGTAGTGTGTTTTTTTGTAGTAGTTGTTTTTGTCTTCGATTGTGTGATTTCTCGTTTCCAGTTAGTTTTTGAGGTAAGTGTTTTTTTCGGACATAGAGTGTGCTCGATTGCGCATAAGTTGAAATGCGTCCGTTCGTTGGATTTTCTTGCTAGCGCTGTCGTTTGTCTCTTTTGGGCTTGGTGTCTCCGAGATTCTTTTTCTTTTTTCACTTTTTTCACTTTCCCGAAAGTTGGCTGCTTTTATTTTGCGTTTTTCTAAGGCGTCCTTAGAGTAATCATGGGTAATATATGTGTTTTCTTGCATTTTCTTTTTGTTCTTTAGAATTTGAATTTTTTTCTGTATTGTTGTTGTTGTTAACAGAATAGGTCTTATTTTTTCACTATCCATTTTTTTGCCAAGGCGTTGTACTTTATTTATTTCACTGTTTTCGAGTGGTACATCCAAATCCGTTATTGTTTTGTTTACCAAAGCGTTTAAATCTTCGTATTTTTCGGTGCTAGGTTCTGAGATCCCGTGTAAAATTATGCTGTTTTTCCTTGCATTTACGTCCAGATTCTGTAGCTGTTTATTCAGTTTTACCACTTCACGTGTAAGTCGTTCGTTTTCCGCTATTATTGGTTGTATTTTCTCATCCACTACTTTTAATACAGTTTTTGTAATGTTTTCTGTTATTTGTACTGTCTGTTGATCTAATTCTGCTTTCAACTTGTCAAAGAGTAGTGACATTTCGTTTGACAGTTCAGTACCCATAATGGCGGATGGACGTTTCGTTCAGTAAAGTTACTTTGCTCTCGTGCTAACACGCAATGTACTTCGAAGTCTATCCGACAATGTACGTCGAAGTCTGGGTTTGTTAAGTTGGTGAACTTGCTCAATGTCAGTTCGTTGTGTTGGTGGGCTTGCTTGAGGTGTCAGTTAGTTATGTTGATAGCTTGTCTTTCTTATTATAACCTCCAAATTCGCTATGATTTTTTAGAGTAAATTTCACTTTATTTTGCACTTTTCGTAGAAACCTTTTTAGTGACGAGTACTTGCAGGCGATATTGGATACAACTGTTATGTTTTTAACACGGGCGCACTTATTATTGTCACGTATTTAAATGAAATTTCGGGAGCTATTGACAGCACGTCTTTACAGTTTTAGCACCGGAAACCGGAAATACTTAATGGGCACAAATCATATAACAACGAACAAGAAAGCTATACAACCTTATCTAAATACACAGAAGTAACAAAACAAATCCTTAATTCCAAAGGGTGGAAAACAAAAAAAGCTTGGAACGAAACACAGGTGGCGCGCATATCGTTAGTGTAGCAATTTGCTAAATGTCCCCTCTCTGCAATCTCGGCGAAGGTTTACACCTATGGGCACGTACAATCGTCGACTTTGTTACTTATTTGAGTGACTATTTCCTACCTCGGAGGGAAGAGAGTCGGGAGTGGCATTTCTTTTCGTATCATTGTCAATGTGCGAATTTAGATTTGAATAAAGCGTATTTTATGCTATAAAAATGTGATATTTAATCTGTTTCAGTAATAAAAAGTGGATATTATCGCGCTTGCACCCTCGGATGAACATCGGCCTTAATAGGTTATAGCGGGCGTCGAGGTTTAGTTCGGGCCCGACGTGTCTTCTGCGATGACTCATATACCTACACCGCCTCCTTCTTGATCTGAATGATTGCTTTTCAGAAAAAAGAGACCTCTTCAATCTCTCGCTTCGCACAATGACCTCGACTAAAGCTGGATGTGACAGGTCGTCGCATCCGATGGAGATTTAAAAATGTGTTTATACTATCGTTTAGTATCATCGGATCACTTATTATAACTTAAAACATAGCTAGAGAAAAATCGATAGATATTAACAATACATTTCAAAAGAACAAGTAACATAATACTAGTGTAATAACATTCTTGTTCTGTAATTAGGTACAAAGCGATCCAAACCTTATTTCAAGGACGGTTCAGATTAAACCAAATACCATTAATTGCATGGATATCCCTAAATGAACTGCATCGATGCATGTTTATTAAATCCTGTTTGATCTGCAATCGCGTTTAGCGCTCACTCGTAATATGTTTTGCTAACTTTGATGTCCGAATCACACTATGTTTACCTAATATTTTCTCGTCCTGTTTCCTGTTTACGTGTAATGACAATTATGTAGTAGATCAACTGGCTGCGTTTATAGTTGTATTGATATGTCGATGTTGATTGGATTTTGTTTTTGAATCATTCGTGGGCAATGAATTTTATATGTTTTTTTTATTATAACTTTCGTGAGATATACTAAATTAATTATTATGGTTTCGGCTCAATCACGTGATAATTTGACGAGACACTCGACTAGTTTCAAGCCATGCTAGAGGCCCATATTCATGAGCAGCATTCCGCGACACGTGACTCGGCGAATGTCGCGTTGCTACACTAAGCTAGTCGAGTATCTCAAATTATTACGTGAGAAAGCCGGAAACACAATAAATAATAATAATGTTTTTTTGTTAGTGCGAAATCATGAAATGACTTCTCCCGCCCAGGGTGAGGTGAGAGAGAGTATCAGACTCTTACTGACTAAAAACCCCCGTTCCTTCTCCTGCTCTAGGCTAAGGCCGCGGTGCCTCATTACGCTTGCCCCGCAACCCCGGATGAATTTAATATTAAGGTTAAGCTTCTCACACCTAAGAGTGCGGATTTGAAACATTTATTTATTTATTTATTTATATATTCTTTATTGTACATAACATTAAAAAATTTAACACAAAGACCAGACTAACAATCACAGAGTGTACAATGGGCGGTCTTATCACTCACGGTGATTTCTTCCAGACAACCTTTGGATGGAAATTAAAAAGTGAAACTGGAAATGGGCAGTCTAGTGCACAATAAATACGGGGGGAAGAAAAAAAATATATAAATACAAACATGGCAAATTCCAATGAAATTTTTGCGACTTAAACGGTTAATGGTTAATCAAGGGTTATAGTTTCCAATTACAAGATTAAAGTAGTCAATCCGCCTTGAGTAAGCGTCGTTTTTAATACTCAAACATATCTGTGTGAGAACAGGCACTTGCTTAGCAGTGGACACTTATAAGTTGATGATATGGTTGATGTGTGTAATTAGTAAGTATTGTAATAATAAGAAGATTTTAGACAGATTTTTACACATTTTTTTAAGCAAATAATCATTTATTTGTACCAACATTGTTTCACATTTAATGAACCAACCAAAACAGTTTCTTGGAGGGATTACCGTAAAACGGGGTGAATAGAATTTGAGGGGTGAATAGATACACGAAAGGGGTGAATAGATGTTGGCGAATTTTCCTTGTATCTATTCACCCCTCATCCGTGTCTATTTACCCCTCGAATTCTATTCACCCCGTTTTACCGTACTAAATTTCTAAATAACCACAAGATCGCTATCTTCTACAACATGAAACAAGTCTTTTTCTTCATAAAGGGGAAATTCGTCAATTGACTTTAAACTTACACACTTCCTTCTCTTGCTGCCGGTCGGGTCCGCAATAAATTATTGCGCATCCACCCCACCTGAAAGTGACTAAGCGCATGTTTTACAATGTCAGAAAATGTCAGAAATGACGTACCAAATAATTTTGAATATAGAAGTATTCAAGTATCTGTAACATAAGTTTAACGGGTTAATTATGTGAAGGTGGTAATAAATAGGATTTAATAAAAATATATTTTTAGTATAAAAACTATCCTATGTCCTTTCTCGAGTTCCAAACTATGTTTGTACCAAATTACACAGCTATCGGTTCAGTAGTTTAGGCTTGAAGAAAAGACAGACAGACAGAGATACTTTCACATTTTATAATATTAGTTTGGAAGTTAGAATTTGTATAAGTACTTTTTAAATAGAAGTATAAGTCATACATCAGTAACATCAAAAAAAAAACAACGAAATAATTTAAAGGAATGAACACAAAGCACGTTATTTACACCTGAAAAAAAAATATTTCACCTTAAGTTGTTAAAAAAGAAAAATTCTTGTTCAGACCATCCGTGAGAGCGTGTAGGAGGCAATTTATAAACATCTCCTGAAGAATTTAAGCCCAACAATGCAGCGATGGAGGCACTTCGACATATCTATTTGTTCAGGTATTTTGTTGTCGAGTGGTTTGTATTTACGATGCTCTTTAGAAGTGTAGAGCATATTGGAAGTAAGTGGATGTTTATTTTTTGCATTTATCTACCATTTTGGAAAGATAACAAACAGTACTTTACCTATACAATATAATATAACATTGCGCTTTTTCTTCTTCGTGGCAGCCAGAGGAATACATAAATAATGCTAGACTGATTTCCACCAAAGATACCAGATAGTGAGTCTGTTGTCTTATCAATATCATCATCATCATCATTATCATCAGCTTATAAGTGCTCACGGCCGCTCAAGGCGGATTGACAATTTCAAATTTATAATTTGAAATAATAGGAGCCATCTTTGTAAATATGTTATTAGGTAGTCAAATACTAAACTTGTTAAAGAAGCTACAGAAAAACATCATCAGTCCAATTTAGTTTTTAATTTTAACTGTATATACAGAGAGATAGACACTAGGATAAGACAGACACCTAAGTCTTGCACCCGGTTTCTGAAAGGCTTGTCAACGTTAAAATTAACTAATCTCCTGTTGAATCTCTTGTCAAGTCATCTGATTGGTTGATTGAATTATCATAAAATTGATTTTAACATTGATCGGCCTTTCGGAAACCGGGGGTGTAAGTCCTGATTTTGGCTAAAGCATACCGAGTAAGGAATTAAAAGAAACAAATATGTTTTTGCCATCCACATATCGCCCTTTTATGCAGTTAAAATTCACGTTGACGATGTAAATATTTCAAAGAAAATTCTAGAAATTCCGTTCAAAAAGAGCAAGTTCTATCAACGAATGACGTTTGGAAATTGTGTTCAATACTAAAGTGCTACCTTCCGTCGTCTGAGTGGTACGGGAACTAGGCTTCCGTTGCTTTTTCATTGTGCTTCGAATCATCGATAGTCTGATCGATAGTTGTGACGTCATGTTTATTACGTCAGAGCAAAAGTTTTTCTTAAAAACGTATCTAGAAGTATGCGGATATAAAGTAAGTATGTACATATAATATCTATTTTTTTCATGTGATAGGTCGGCGAACGAGCAGACGGATTACCTGATGGTAAGCAATCAGCGCCGCCCATGGACACCCGCAACAACAGAGGAGATACGACTGCGTTGTCGACGTTTTGGGGATTAGAGATTTAGGAGATTTATGGATTGGGAAGGGATTGGAGGAGAGGAAGGATTGGGCCTCCGGTAACCTCACTCACACGGCGAAACACAACGCTGTGATTGTTTCACGCCGGTTTTCTGTGAGGCCATGGTATTACTCCGGACGAGCCGACCCATTCATGCCAAAGGATGGCTCTCCTACACTTATGTATATCGTTTAAACAATGAATGGAAGTGCGATTGTTTTTTAACAAAATAATAATATATTTAGTAGGTACATTGAATTTTAAGAGATACTATGGCAACCTACCGCCTATGGACACCTGTCAGAGGACTGGCAAGTGCGTTGCCGATCATTTAATTCCCTTGTATTTTTTAAGTATTAGTATCAAAGGTGTAAACCAAGAAAATGGTACCATTGTTGTTTTAAATAAAATTGTATTAAATTACCCAGAGTTGCCGTATTCTATTATTCTATGGCAACGATTTTCTTACGAACACAATTGTTAAAAA